TGGCTGAAAGGTCTCGTCTCCACAGTCTGGAGGCCACTGGCTGAAAGGCCCCGTCTCCACAGCCTGGGGGCCACTGGCTGAAAGGCCCCGTCTCCACAGTCTGGGGCCACTGGCTGAAAGGCCCCGTCTCCACAGTCTGGGGGCCACTGGCTGAAAGGTCCTGTCCCCTTTAGTTTTCAGCTGCGTACGTGGAACATCCAAGAGGTTCTGTGACTGGGAGCAGTAATCAAAGTCTCTGTCTTACTGGTGTTTAAAACCAGGAAGTTACTGGTGAGCCTGCCTTGTGTATATTTTACTTGAACCTTGTCCAGTTCTCGTAGGAAGTCCTGGACCCGAGCCGGTGGACCAGCTCGCTGCTAAAGTTCAGCATCACACTGCACGTGTGCAGCAGGCAGCCGGTCACCTGGACAGACGAGGCAAGGACACGGACAGTCCAGAAAGGTGCGTTTTTATTCATTTATTTTTATTTCTGATTTGAATTCTAACTGTGTAAAGGGATATGAGTGGAAATCTTTTATTGTTTGTTCAACCTTCATAAAGTCATTATATTGGTTGTGGCACGTGTTTGAAACCCACTTGGAACATCTAATCAGACTTTATGGCTTGTTGAATATAATGTTACGCCACACCTTTACTGAACATTAGCTGCCAATGAACGCTCCTGTTTGTAGGTAAAGTATCAGACAACACGTCTGTGCTTTACCTCTTATCAAATCAAATCAAACTTTATCAGTTCGGGACGTTTCCTGCAGAACAACCGAATGTGATTTCAAATTAGAATAAAAATATTAATGGAAAAATGCATAAAACTACTCATTCACACAGAAATACTGGTTATAAAACCATCAAATTATACACTTTCAGTTTAAGAACCTATTTATTTGGCCATAAACTGATGTTCAGACACGTAAACATAAAACATGATTAAAGTATAAAGACACACACATAACCTGGTGTAGCTGTTTCTGCTCCGTCAGCCACAGTAAGCTGTAAACAGCAAGCATAAATATCCATGTAATGTCTTTTACAGTGTAGGAGGACTGTCCCCTGGCTCCAACAACAAATCACATCTACGGATGTAAAACGTTCTTTGTTACTTTCAGGGTCCAGTTGTGGGCAACGCTGGCGAAAACAGCCCGCAAGCAGGAAGTGTGGGACGTGTGCCGAGCGGCCTGCCGCTTCTGTTTGCTTTATGATGATGGGACGTGGAAGAGCTCTAAGACTGCCAGTAAGCTGATGAAACCACCTTTATTAGAATAAAGTGAAGCCAATTAAAACATCATACAACAACTGCTTGTACTATAAAATGATCTCGTTTTGTTTTATCAGGAATAAATCTGTGTCGTGGTAATAACCCCATGATTTAATGAGCTGTGATGCATGTTAATCCTGACAGAAGAGCAGCTGCACGAGCAGCCCTGATCCACGTCCAAACAAACCGTGTTGCTCCTTTTCTTTTCTTCAGAGTGTAAATGCTCAGAGGAGCAACGAGCTCCAGAACAGCTTTGCTGCTGCAGCGCAACACACGTGCACGTGCTGCGCCTCTTGGCTGAAGTTTGCTTCATCAACGCTGAGGTACGAGTCAATCTTCACGTGAACATTTATGAAGCGAGGCATGTTGTGTGTGACCTCGTGTTGCTTTGATTCAAATGAAACCCGTTTCCTCAGGATGGATGTTACCGTGTCAGTGCAGCAGTTACTCTTCAACAGTTTACTCCGTGTACACCTGTGTGTAAGATCTAAGGTCTCACAGAGGATCTCTGTGGTTCTCTAACTGCGGAGCGCACACACCCCCACCCCAGAGGAGAACATTTATTGATAATTACTAATAATTTACAAATATTTTTGAGCTCAGAACCTGCAGGTAGCATTTATGTTCAGGCACTAATGCAGCGAGAAGACGTTTGTTACACCAAGCACTTTCCATGAGAAAGGAGCACTTTGATGACGCTAAAGTTCATTTATTGTTTTATTTCTTTCGGCTGCTCCCTCTTCAGGGGTCGCCACAGCTGGCAAACTCTCAGGGAGACTTGGATGCCGTGTTTATTACACTAAAGTTAAATAATAAGTTGTACATTTTCCTCTTTCTAAAGGGGTGCAGGAGGAGAAGCTTGAGAACCACTGCATCTTTAAACGAAATGTCCTCCAAGTAGAACAATGTTGTTTTTATTAAGGAAGGACGAGGACACCTGCAGGACTTTTTCTGCTAAAGAAAATCTGACGCACAGTTTTCACACAGTAACTGTTTGTTTGAGGCTTAGCTTTTAGTCTGTTGCTGTATGTCTGCCTGTCTTTTGAAGGCTGGTGTCAGGGAGTGACACTGTGTGGTTGTCATGGTAACACGCCGTGGTTTTAGCCTCCTAAAAGTTTTGTTCTGCGTGGACCGTCTAACGGGACACGGTTTAATTTCAAAGCTTGAGCTCCACCTGCAGCTTTTTAGGTTCAAACAAAGAGTCCGACCTGTTTTTTGTCAGTTATCAGGTTTTCTACCACCGATGTGGTTTTGGTTGATCAAAGGAATACTATAATTATTATTTTTGCTCCAGCTTGTTGCTTCCTGATGTAGCAGGAAGCCCGTGAGTTGGACAGTGTTGGTCCGTCACGGTGGGGCTCGTCTCGTTGCGTAATCAGACGTCCCGTCGGGCCTGCAGCCTCGGTTCGCTCTGCAGAGACGTTAAGTTGACAGCACTTTGAAATGACGACAGCGCTGACACACAGCAGCCGTGCTGCTGCTTTCATGTCTCTCTGACTTTGTTCGGTGACACGTGGAATTGGGTTAAAGTTCGTTCATGTGATGATGAAGACCAGCTCGCTTGCTGCAGTGGAGCAGAAAACTCTCCAGTCCTTCCTCTTTGAGTCCCCTCGGAGAAGCTGCCCAAAGCAGGACTTGTCTTCTACTCTTCATTCTGAAGTTATCATGACGACGTGTGACCTTTGATTGTATATCTCGAGTCTGTTTTCCTCAGGCTACTATCGATAAGCTTTTGTCAGAGGGGGTTCAGCTGAGCGGCCCGGCTGTCCGACCGCAGGAAGGAGGTTTCTCTGAACAAGATCCAAACTGGCTGATTTACAGGTGGAGAAAACTACCAGCATGCACATGATGGACGTCACATTTGATGCTTTTCATTGTCTGCCACTGTTAAAATGGTCTTATTCCAGAATAACTTCTTTAATGTTCCTCTCTGTAAACGTGTGCAGCTGCTCTTCTCCAGCGTGGCTGTTGATTTATAGCGTCCTGCCTTCATGTTACCAAAGTGCTAAACAATAAAATCAATTCAATAAAAAAAAAAATCAATTCAAAAATACTTTATTAATCCCGAGGGAAATTATTTGTTCTAGTAACTCGTCCTCATTTCATTAAGAGATCTTATAGATGCTGATGCTGTAAGCAGGAAGGATCCCTGGTAAAGGTCCATCCCACAGTGGATCCTAAGAAACTGGCTGCAGATGCTGTCTGATCCGTCCACCCAGACTCGGCTGGCCTCTCAGTTCCCCTGGACTGAAGGACCGCCTGAATGCTGGGCAGAACTGGGGCTGTAGTTGAGATATTATTTGAGCTGTTGAGATGTTAATCAGCTGTTGGTTGTAGAAAACTGCCTTGTTGCC